GAAGTTGTATGTATGCATACATACATACAACTTGACCATGCAAAAACAGTTTGAAAGTAATGACAACTGTACTAAAAGGCCATGCCTTCCAGAAAGAGAGAAATCAAAATAGCTCTTGAAGGGAGGGAGGGAGGACATAAATTTGCTTGTGGCACTGAGCTCCTTACTCTGGAAGGAAAGCCTTCAGATGCTGCTAATTCAAAATGCTCTAAATACCTCAAGGTAGAGTTCCCAACTAAATTGGCATCCCTCTATCCTAAATAAAAGGAAGTAGCCGTTGGTAGGCCCAAAGGTCCCCCATTGTTGCCATAGTGATTTGTGTTCCTGCATTAGAAAGGAAAGATTAAAAAACTGAGCCACAGCTTTTTAGTAGCATGAAGGCAACTTGACTCCTGCTGTCCTACATGTCCAGTTCAGCATGAAAGTTAGTCACTGCAGAAGACACTGCATTTACAATGACTGCTTGGGTGGCCTCATTAGTTTCATGCTTCAGCCAGAGGTTCTTCAGAAAATCATGGACACTAAAGTAATGGTTTACATTGTGGTGGAGCTTCATATTTTCTTGGAATCAATCAAGTATCTAGCTCAACTTTCTGAGTTCATATTTGAATTCTCATCCTACTAATTAGTCACAGAATTTCTCCATTATGCTCATTCCTCTGAATTTTCTATTTTCTGTCATCTAGACTTTCAGATTTGAATTTATTTCTTGAATAATACTCTACCAAGTATAATCTGTAGAATTCATAGAAGTGTGCCCAACTAGAAACCCTCGCTTACTTTTCTCAGGATCTAGTTTGGCTTCTTTCAACAAAATTAAATTCTATGAAAGGATTAAATGTCTCACTGCCATTGCCATGACAGTCTAGGATGACTGCAGTGTCCAAAACAGAAACTTAGGGAGACAGTATTCTTCCTGGCCTTCTTGACCACAACTCACTTACCTTGAATGGAGGGGGGCCTTGAACCACCACAGGTATAGTCCTCGGGCTTTATGACAAATACAACAAAAAACTGTTTGCTTGGGAAGTCCTTTTTCTGTGCAATACAAAAACACAATAATTGTTTAACACTGGTAGACAACTATAATTAGGAACGATAACTGGGCGGTGGCAGGGGGGAGACACAGGGGGCAACTGACCTCCCAAATAAGCCCTGATCCCCATATTCTCCATTTGCCTTCTTAAAAAAGAGCAAATTTTTAACCCTTCTAGAAGCTGCTGAAGTAAAAGCAATTATTCTACCCTCTCGTTGTCAAATGTAGTTGTTTTTCAGTTCTTTAGGCATTAAATGAACAGTCATACCAATGACCAACATGCATAACTTCCAAAGAAATTCCTGATTCATTTTTTAAAAAGTCTTTTCTTGTGGGCAGGAGGAAATGATTAGATAGAAACTATTCAGAATTCCAAAGGTTTGGCATAGCTGTGATTGGCCAGCAGTGAATCTAATACAACAGAAGATGTAAAACAGGAGTCTATGATATTTCTAAGCCCATTCTTATTATACAAAACGAATGATTTCCTGAATTTTCCAGAAGAAAAAATAATATCCTGCCAATACATGCAGATAGTCTTCCTTCCTTCCATCTCACTGTAAGAGTGACATTATTATGCACATTGCAAAAAGCAGCTCAGGAGGTTGTGACTCACGCAAATATGCAAGATCGTCCAGTGCCCAGTATTTATTATGCCATTTCTTATGGCACAATTGCAAACTTGGCTAAATCCATATGAAGTCAAGTAGTCTCTAGCCTTAACCCTAACACATTTATCCTTCCTGGATTACCAATAGGCCAGTACATTCCTTAAATGGCCTATAATGAACGCAAAATGGAAGGAAGCCTAAGAAGATTGCAAAATTCTTATCAACAGCCACAGCTTTGAAAAACCACCTGGTGTTCCTTCACATTATTGTTTCAGGCTTTGAATGTAATTCAATGTAATTTTTTAAAAATTTACCTTATTTGTTGTATTTTGCATTTACGGTTGTTCTTGGAACATAAGCAAATAAATAACCATATCTTAGTTGTAAGGTTTACCCCGTTCAGCTCCAAAGAAACTCTTGTGACACATGGGTTCAGCAAAGAAGTTTACTAAAGCGTAACGTAGGTAGGTACAGACAAAGTCAGGGTTGGCTTGGCATAGCTTACATGGTATTTTATAGTTTCCCCGTTCCCACGTCTTGCCCCGTTGCTTAGTCACTGATTACCCGCAGTAATCCCCCCTCGCCCAAATGGCAGATTCAGTCCGGCTCTTTTGTCTTCTTGATAGCTGTCTATGGGTTGTATGGTTGTTGTCTTTGTCGGGTTTTCCTGTTGCGTGTAAAGCCGGGAGTTCTCAATCGTGCGCTGATCGCTGCGCTTCCGAGCTGCTGCGCTTCCCTTTGTCTGCAGCGCTCGAGGGAAGCCGGCAGTGATACAATGTATCCGCTTGCGGTTTGAGTTAAGCGCCGCCACCTGTCGGCAATCAGTTCACGGTCTTGGCTAACTTTCCCTTTTTTGCTGCTAGCACCTGGGGCGGTGAAATTGACTAGGCGAAGCTGAGCAGCGGCGTTCGCCTTGCCGTGCCGTGCCGATTGAATCTGACATTAGTTAGGATGCCTAATTAATGCAGTTGCATACCTTACACAGTTCCTAACCACAGAAAGGCCATCACTCTGGCTCATTATAATGCCCTTTCTTTTGCTGTGCTAGACGGAAGATTAAAAAAGATCCTCTTCCCAGAACATCTGTGCTTTTAAGATGCCACCAGCCATGTCCTCCTTTCCTGCCCATTTTGCAGAGACATCTGTATTCCCCTAGGCTGTACTAACCTATTTGATATGCTCTCTGACTGCAATTCCCTCTTAATATATAAATGTTACCGAGTCTTGTATAGCTGTGTGTAAAATTTGCCCAGCAATGACTGACAGCTACAGCTAATCAGTCTCAATCATTATACTGCTGATTCTTCGTTTTTTCAGTTCTACAGTATAGCATTTCACCATAACTTAATTTAAATTATTTTTTTCCTTTAAATGTTTTCGCTGTTAGTGTATTTTATTTTATTCAACAATTTTAGCTAAATTTTAATTTTAGTTTTTTGTAGTTCTTAATTTATAAACATGTACATCTTTTATTTTGCCATCTTTTAACTCTGTCTTTTAACACTAACTGCCATCTTTTAACTCCCTATCTCCACAGACTGTTTTCAGGTTATAGCTGTTAATTCCACAATCTCTACATTTCACTTTGTGCTGGTTAAACACCAAAATAAAGCTATTGTATAACTAAAAAGTAAAAATAACATGGGAGTTAAGGGTCTTAATGCTGAAAAGAGGGTCTTAAGCTTCCAAGAGGTTTAAGATATCTATTTCAATGCTAATTCCTTTTTTTAAAAGAAGGAAATCATGACCCTGAAAATGGCCATTTCTGCTTTCAGAGGTTGGAGCCACAACCTGGTATGTTCTGGAGCTGCGAAAGGAGTCTAGAGGGCAATGATTCTTTGATGCCTCTCTCAACATTTTCTCAAAACTCCAAATACGCCTCTTGATCCAAGACCATTGGCCATCCCTGGTTTAGTGACCATGCTCTTCCCATATGTATTCCTAGTGAAAATTAACTGCTTGAGACTGCTCAATGGCTTGCAGGTGTGTGTTTGTGTGTGTGTGGGGTACATGTATTCAATCTTAAGGAGAAATATAATATTTTATATGTTTTTCCTTGCTATGGATTCCCTCTCCCTCCCTTTCTTGGACTTCTCCCATGCCTCTTAGTCATTCCCCACCTGCCTGCAGCCAACCTCTGCTGTGCCCAATATTGCCTGGTGTCTCCTATGCTCCCCAGCTCCCCCATGCTCTTCTCCCTAAACATGGACAGACCTTCCCAGCCTAGCCTCCACCTTCCAAAATATTTCCATCCCTCCACACCACTGACTGCAGACAATCATGCCTAGCCCAGCTGCCCCCTCCAACAAGAACAGACTGGATACAGTAGATGGCACCATCCACTCACCTGCACAGTGAGGGCTGCCTGCTTTGTCATGGATTGGTAAACTCCATTAAATTCCACATTATAATCCAAATCATAAACTGGACACTGAAATAGATCAAGAAGCTGATTAGACGGCTACCTCGGCTTCTGTATATCTGATTATTGTCATAGACTCCCGGCAGGCGTTCCCAATTCTCTCCCTCTCTCGATCCTAGTTCAGAACAGGGTTTTCAAGCTGTTTTGGACCTTCAACTTTATTCCCATGTTTCATTACACCACAGAGCTCTTCAGTGGCTCCCAGTACAAGCCACACTGAGTCCACTTAATCCTCCTCTCTGATCTGGATGTTTGTCTTATTTGGAGAGGTTCACAAGAAATGAATCAGTTTTCAGACATGTTGTTTTTCTCTCCCTGGCCTAAGTGAACACAAAAATTTTTAGGAGGGTGCAGACTTGGAATCTATCTGCTTTGAAGGCAGCTCAAATCTGTTTGAATCAGCCCAATTTGATTCAGAATGCAGATCTGATGCGGATTTGCATCTTACATTAAATATTATTATTGAACAGCACTAATAAGCAAACTACAGCCAATATTCAAGTGGAGGACTTACCACAATATCTTGGATGGAGACCACAGAGCAGGGATAGATTGTCTCAGAAATCACTCTGACAATGACGGAATCCACATCAGGAGGGAACTTGTATAAAAGGTACTATGAAGGGTGAAAATACTTTTAGGATTCTTTCTGCCATAAGGATATCCTTTAAATATGGGTAAGCCCCATTTATCAGAGATATTCATGCTGATGCCATCATGCTTCTGAGTCTGTGCCTGAACTTGCCTTGTTGAGTGGTAATGTGTAAAGTGGAGCTGTATATGGTTTTATTTAAATGTCGGTAGAGCTCTCCACATGGTTGATCAGAGTCCTGTTTTATTCAAGCAAATTCAAGTAGAGCTTCACATTCATTCAGGTCTTTCTGCTCAGTCAGCAAGGCTGGAGACTGAAGGATGGATCTAGCACAACGGTCCTATCACTTTTGTATATGAATACTTATTTATGGATACATGCATTTTATGACTATATATCAAATAATCTAGGTGGTTTCCAAACACTATAAAACCCAAATCCCAACCAAAAATTAATCCCATAAAAACAATCAATAAATAATCCCTCAACCAATAGCAGCCCAAACTCCACAGCGACCCACTATTAGCCATCAAAGGCCCTATGAAAGTGTGTATGGGACTGGTGAAATATTGAGATGGCTCCAGTGTAATTAATATCTGCTTTTCACCTAATATTTTTTTATTTTTGTTCCTTTTATGATTTTAAAGTTTTTAATAATATTAATAGTTGTTTGTATATTGTTTTTAGCTTTGTTGTACACTGCACAGAGTCACTTGTTTGTGAGATGGGTGGCCATATAAATATGACAAATAAATAAATATATAAATAAATAAGAAGGATGCTAAGTGAAGAAATTTATCAGCCACTAGCAGCCCAGGGAACAGCTCTTGCACCCACATGATACAACAATATGGCAACAATATTCTAACACCTTGGAATTTAACTAAATTTTGAAAAGATATATTTACCCACTAACATACATAATTATTATTACTTACCTGTGGTTGGGAAGGGCTGGCAGTGAACTTAAAAGCAGTGTCCGTACTAGGAAAAAAAGGAAATTTGCTCAGATATCAGAATAAAATATGAAACATACAGATAGATAGCAGTTAGAAACTGTTTGAGGTGGAGGAAAATCTCATTACATATCCACAGCTGGCTTTGCTTTTCCAAATTAGCTTCACTCATATGACAAATAAACACATGGATTATTTTGGAATTAGGAATTAGCAAAAATTCTTTTGTCTATTGTTGAATTTCTCGTACATATTAGCGAGAGTTCAATTATCTGGTTCTCTTCTATGTATGTATTTATAAGGAAAAGGTGGTGGAGTTCCAAAGGTACGACTGTTTTTGCCTTATTGATGAGACTATGGCTTTTGACTGTGTAGGCCACAACAAATTATGGACAGCCTTTGAAAACATCAGTGTACTGGGCTACCTTCTCTGCCTATTGAAGTATGATGGCCAGGAAGCAACAGCTAGAACGGAATATGGAGCAACCAAGCAGGCAAAATTGGGAAAGGAGGATATCTAGGTTGTACATTGCCACTTTACTTAGTTAGCTTATATGCAGAATACATAATGAGAATGTTGAACTAGAAGAAATAGAAGTAGGAATTAAAACAGCTGGGACAAAATTCAACAACATCTGATATGCTGATGATACTACTCTGATGGGTAGAAGTGAGGAAAACATAATTCAGTGCAAATAGGAGAAGTTGGAATAGTAAGAACTTTATCTTCCTAGGCTCAAAAATTCACAGGGATGATGACTTTAGCCATGAAACAGATGTCTGTTACTTGGTGCAGATCTATACAAAATATTAAACAGCAGATTTGTCAACACTGATAACCAAAGTAGATATTGTCAGGACCATAGTTTTCCCAGTTGTAACATAAGGCTGTGAAAACTGGACCATGAAAATATGAACAAAGAAAAATTGATGCTTTGAATATTGATGCTGGAGAAAATTGTTGAGAATACCCTGGACTGCAAGAAGAACAAATTATTCAATACCAGATGAAACCGGATTGCTTACTGGAAACACTAATAATGAAGCTAAAACTTAAATACTTTGGATACATAAAACAAGGGCAGCAGTCATCAGAAAAGATCCTGATACTTGAAAAAAATCAAAGACAATTGAAAAAGAGACCAAAAGTAGAGAAGGTGGCTAGATACTTTCACTGATGACACAAGCTTGAGTTTTATAAAAACTCCAAAAAGCAATTAGGATGGACGATCCTGGCCAAATGATATCTACCAGGTCACAAAGAGTCAGAAGTCACTGAACTTCATCATCAACAATTTATAAACTAGAGAATTTTTTAAAAATTAGTCTGCAGAAAAACAGTAACAGGATTCTGATACAGAGAAATGATTTGGAGGGGAATATAAAATCACTGCAGAAAGAAGCAAAAATGTTGCAGTGCTCCATTCAGACATAAACCACAATGACACCAGCCATGCACCTGTGGTTTTCAGCTAGCAATTCTCAGCTGCATTAAAAGAATTCAAATACTAAAAATAAAACATACCTACTAACACTAGTCTTAAATCAATTCTTCAAAAACTTGCAAAACATTAGCACAGTATCAAACCATTCTGTGAAAATTCTTCTGCCTACTTAAAGAAGTCATAGGGTAGAGAATTTTTTAATCTGTGTTCCTTTGAAGTTACTAGGAATCCATTAATTTAAAAAGATTTATATCATAGTTATCTGATACAAAGTTCACCCACTGATAATGACTTCTTACATTGCTCTGAATATTGAGTTATCGAAAACAAAGGTATGAGAGAAATGCAAATAACTGCAGATTTCATTGCTGTGCTAACAGTAGTTGTCCCCATTCTGCAACCTGGAGTGATACCTCCATCTTGGTGACAACCTTTCAGGTATTTGAAGACTGCTATTGTATTCAAACCGCCCCCCCCTTCAAGTCTTCTCTTCTCAAAACTGAACATTCCTAACTCCTTCACTCTCTTTTCAAAGGACCAACTTTGTAATTACTTTCTAATTCCTTGATAATCCGCATTGGCCTTCTTGGAACCTGCTCCAATTGGCCCAAATTCTTCTTAAGAATGGTGCCCAGAATTGGATGCCTGCAGAATTAGTGCCCAGAATTGAGTGAGGAGAAAAGGTGAGGGGAAGCCCACGAACTAGCAGGCAAAGAAATCCAAAACTGAAGGTATGGGCAGGAAAAATAGCAGTGGGTGGATGCAGGCAGACAGGGAAAGCTGAGAGGTGCTGGGTGGTGCAGCCAACAAGCTGCTGAGACGGGGGGCTTGCACGCCATGTGTTAGCTGGATGTTGCTTTCTTTACATATATTTGCATATGTTTCTCAGCATATATGATAGAAAGCTAACATTTTAGCAAGAAGCCTTTGCTGTTTGTAATATTGCTCATGGTCTAGATTGATGAACCTAATGCTACTGCTTCTTTGGAGTTCTTAGCTCTAGCTGTTTGTGATCAGTAAAAAAGGTGTGTTTAACTGTGGCCTCCCATGGTTCCCATTGGGAATTTTTAAAATGTGGAGGTGTTTTTGCTTTTTTATTTTTATTTAAGCAAATGCATGACCAAATCCTGAAAATAACAGCATAAGAACAAAAACAAAATGATACATAAACGAACACTTTGGGAGTATATATTTATCATTTATCATTTATAATCTTAAGGAAAAAGAACAACACTTTAAACATTGATATTTAGCATTTATGTCCCAAAACATATTTGTATAGATAGAGATAATCCACTGAAAATTATTCTGTTATATATTTAAACATGGAAATCAAATCTGAGAAGAACAGTCCTTAACTAAAGGATGCTTAAAGATGGGGTTGTGTTAATTTTTCAGCCAATGCTTTTTCTGATACAGTGATCCAAAGAAAAAAAAATATTTTAGTTTTCCAATGTTTTGAAATATAAAATCCAGAAACTGATGAATAGAAGCTGAACCTTTTTGTTACAATGCACTGTTTTATGAGTCCTTGGAAAAATAGATTAAAAAGCCTTATTAGATTCATTAGGTTGCTGAATATTTTTCCTATTTTTCAAAACTTTCAACCAACATGAATTTAAGTGGATTTCAACACTAGAAATTGATATAAGAACCAGTTTGATCAGAATTTCTCAAAGAGTCTAGAACAGCATTTCTTAAATATTTCAAGAACTGTATTTGTTAAATGAAGATATGTAACTGCCTCTTTAAAAAAAAGTGGATGGAAAGCTGCAATAAAGCATGTTTTAATAATATTCTTTATTTTCCTGTACATTTAATACATCAGTTATAAATCTAAATGGAATAGATGTGCTCATATGTGGATGACAGGCTATTTTATTAATGTCTTGAGCAATATTTGTTTCAGAAAGTCTTAGAGTCAGCATAATGCGTAGTCTATTTCAAAATCTGGTTTTGGTTGTGGGGAGTGCTGATAGTTCTCCTAACACAAAGATACACTGGGACAAAAAAGATGGCGACACTTTCTGTGCCTATTTTCTTAACAGCTCATATTCTTTGTGAACGTTCATTCAAAGATCTAGTGATTTTTTTTCATGACTGTTTCTGAGGTCTAGAAATCTGTCTATACCTCCTCTATATGTTTTGCTAGTAAAATTGGAAAGGATGCAAAACCTACCAAAAATATGCTCTTGGATCTCGTGATCAACTGGTGGAATGCATTTGTGTTGTTTGGCAAACCATGGAATATAGTTTAAGAAACACTGGTCTTAAAGATTTAGCAATTCATTTATGGACTTACCATGATGAAGACTCACTAAAATTGTTTCTTTAGACTACAGCCATACTGTTCAAAATCAGTCTTCAAACATTGTGAAGAGTGCATAAGCTTAAAAAGAAATTATACTGCACTCCTCATTTAAAACCAATTGGAACTTGTGACCAATTCTTCAGGAGGATATATTTAGGAAGCATAGATTTCCCATCAATACTCATGTCTCTATTCTTATAAAGTCCTTTGTCCTGATCATATTTATTGGACTTAAAACCTGGGTAATCCAGGAATGGAAAGAGAGGGAAAATATCAAAAGCCAGAAATGGTTTTAAAATTTTCAAACTTCTAAGGTTAACTTCAAATATGGATTTGTGATACCAGATACTAATTTCTTTTTTTAATATCAAAGAGAAATGGCATTGCCTTAACAGATTAAAAGTTCACTCCTAACTCAATTTGTATCCACTGAACACCTTTTTAAATTACAAATCATATGAAAGGAAAATAATTAAAATGTTCAAGACATAGTATACCTAAACTTTCATTGTACTTTTGTTTATATTGTATGGTTCACTTGATCTTTGTTTTATTAATAATTAAGTATAAACAAAGAAAAAATAATTTAAAAATATAGACTGAAACCTCACAAGACTGCAGCATTCTCATATAAGATCCCATGAAATGTCATGAAAACACTGACAAGAACACTGAAATGTTATATTTTGAATGTGACTGGCAAAACATTTGGCCATTTTTAATTGATTTCAAAGTCTAAAAATGAGACAAAGAAGGAAAAGAAGGTGGGGACAGTAAGAAAAGAATAGCACATACAGCCACTAGTTCTAAAAATACTAATTCTTAATTAAAGATCAACTGGTTTTTCAGCAGGGCTGATGGCATGTTCTTCCTTCTCTTTTCATCTTTTTCTGCATTGACCTGAAGATGGCTATATACTTGACATCAATTGTTACTTAGATACCAAAGGACAGACATTTGCAAATGTATTTTACCAACCACTCACCCAAGTTGGAAGTTCTTAATCCTGGTAACGTGCAGTAGATAGTGGGCATTATAGGGAGCCATGGAAGCTACATTTATAAATACAATCTGCTCTGAAGATCCATTCTCAGGTACAGACTCTGATGGGCAGAGGGTACGGCTAACTTCTGTGTAGTTGTAGCTTCTTTGGTAACTGCCAACACAAAAACAAAATCTGTTCATCTTCACATACAAGGAAAATGGTCCATAATACGGCATTCTGGGAAGTCTGAGTCTTTAAGTTGCATGCAGTCCTTGGAACTGTATGGCCAGCACCCTAATTTCCATGCCCTACGCAAAAGAACAGTTGAGACCAGAATTATTGAAGCAACAATAGTAAATCGTTTTTTGTGGGAGTATCAAACAGAAGAGATGAAATAGTTCTGGAAGTGATACAATAAGGCAAGTCAAGAGGGCTGGGAGGAGCGGTTGGATTCTGAAGCACTGCTGCTCTACCCAATTAAGACTCCAACAGTCTGTTTTACACTCAAAACAATGTCAGCAACGACTGATGCAACAGTGTGGTCAGCTTGCCACACCAAAAATATCCTGAAGACTCCCTATGACGTAAAAGATCCATGCAGGCTAGAATGGTGAATTGACAGCCTTAGAGAGCCAAGCAAGACTCCCACAAAAAAAGGCAGGGTACAAGCACGTGCTGCAGATATTCTATGGAGTCATGCAGGAGTCGCATTCAGTATACTGAAAAACTCAATATTTCCAGTGCAGTTTATTTATCTGAAAAATAAGGAAGTGTTTTAGCAGCAAGATCATACAATGTACCAATAAGGGATTCAAACTCTTCACAGGTAAACCAATTCTCCAAAGAAGAAGAGATACGAATGAGGAAAAAGGAGAGGGAGGGAAAAGGGAAGGACAGCAAGTGAAAAAGCAAAGGAAACAAGAGGAAGGGAGGAGAGGAAGAAACAGCAGCAGCTTCCAGTTACAAAAAGTAAAGTTATTGTTGGTGTGGAGGAGAGCTAATATCATTGCAGGGAGCAGAGGAAGAAGAGGAGGATGAGCTGATAGAGTGGAAAGTACAAATGAGAAGAAAGATGGCATGTGTGGTGCAAAGAAGGAAGAATAGTGGCAAAGAGAGGACTATGAAGATAAAAGCAGAAAGGACCAAGAGGCTGAGAAAAGGTCTGGAACAGGGGAAAGTGAAGAAGAAGTAAGGAGAAAAATAGGCTTTTCCTAAGAAGGAGAGGGGAGAGAATGGATGTTCCACTCCTGGATATAAGTATCTTTCTGTAAGTAAAGGGAGACAAACAATGCCCTAAAGCAGTTTATGTGCATAGCCAACAGCCGGGGGAGAACAGAAATCTTGTATCATTACAGATCTGCAGCTTTAATTAGAAAGGCTGAGTGAAAGCAGCATGTGTCATGACTGATCCAGATTTGGCTTTGGATGTTCAGCTGTAGTCAGGGAATTACCAGGGCAGCTTTGAAGAACACCACTGTGTTGTGGCACCTTCTGGTTAGGGGGAGAAGATATGAAGGAAAAATGAGGGGCAAAAACAAGTGGAGGAGCTGGAATGTTCATCCGTCCATCCATCCATCCATCTATCTGATTTATATGGCCACCCAATTCACAAGAGTGACCATGACCAGTGGAGGAAAGGAACAATGATCTGAAGACCTTTCCCCTTGAGGAAGGATGAATCTCAAGGCCACTACCATGAAAACAGGAATGAGAAAATGGGACACCCGGTTGGTTTATAGGGCAGGCACAGCATGTATTGTTTGTGTGTGATGTCTTCTCTTTCTCCTGTTGTGCACAGTGGACTCCATTTCCTTGTGAAGATGATTTGGGTGCATCATGGAGCATATGGTACCCAACCTTGAAATAGAAGGTCAGAAAAGTAGTTTTGAAAGGTGCTCTTGAAAGAACCAGCATGGCTCAGGAGGGAACATAGCAAAATCATTTGTTTTTGGAAAGGGATGCAAAACTTCTTGAAAGACTAAAGAAGAATCTCAAGAGAAAGTTTTGTACAGAAACACGGCATCCTCCTCCATGTCAGATTTTTGTTCCAATTTTATCTTTTCTGTGTGCTTATGTATATATAATTTTCTAACTTGCCCTATTATCCATCCATCCCGCCCACCAAATCCGAAAACCATAACCAACATTCAGAATAAAATCAGCATAAAAAAACCACACTCTGTTCAGTACAGTGCTTCGGAGAAAAATATACACTTAAGTACTCATTATCCATCCTCCACCAGTTAGGATCATAAATCAACCTGGCCTTTGGCCTGTTTGAAAAACCAGTTTTTTAGAGTTTCTCTAAAGGACAGCGAGGTCAGGGCCAGAAAAACCTTTGAGGGCCCTGCAGGTGCCTGCACTCACAGCTCCACAGACTCCATGAAATATCATCTAAATAAAGAGAACTTCATTGAAATATTTATGTCATGGTATAAAACAGATTGCCATTTAAAACAGATGGGGGAGATAAAAATAGTTTCTTCATTCAGCGAAGAAGTGTTAGTGTGTGTCTGGGATATGTCACAAACTAGGAGTCAGTATGTGGTGTCACAATGTGCTCTATTCTTTCAGACATCAGGCAGTTCCAGCTTTATGGGTAAAGAGTACCTTCTGGCCTTTAGTACTACAGTACTCTGAATATAATCAGTGCACGGCACTGACATCCAAGTTAGCTTCTTAGCCTGACCAACTTCCTGACCATAGGTCTGACATGCCTTTTGTCTCCTTCTGTTATCTACCTCCTCTGAAATCCTTTGACCAACCCTGTTTATATCACATTATCTGCCTACTGACTTTTCTGCTTCAATTCCTGATTGCTGGTGACCTGTCTCTTTGAAGTCTATCCAGTACCATGTCAGTCTTTGATCCATGTCCTGTATTTGAATTTGGCCAAGAGAACAGAATGCAAGGTAAAGAGAGAAATCTTCAAGTTGACTTCAACTCCTGGTGACTTTATGGACATGTCCGTGCAGTATTCTTGGCCACAATACAGAAATGGTTTCCTATTGTTTTTTCCAAGCTGTTTTTTGACTTCCCAGTTTAGACCACAGCCCTGGGATTTCCTATTGCTCTCCCACCCAAGTACTAACCATGTCTGATACTGTCCCACTTTTCAAGGCTAGTTAACCAGACAGTCACTAAACAAAGCACTACTGAACAAAACTTTTTATGAGTATTCTTCTCTTTGGGCCAATTCAAAGAGCAAGGATTTAAAATCCTGGAAATTCTGACACACTTTAAGGTACAGTATACTAGATAGGGATCTTTGCTTCCAGCCATGAGAGTTGTTAGGCATATTTGGTTACTAATAGGTAAGCAGTTACATTCTGATCCTGAATCACATTGACATTATGAAATTATATTGTTATAAACTAAATTATATTGATGCTATGGAATAACCCAAATTTGAAAATAGCAGGGAAACATGTTTTATTGGAATGCTTGGGCTAAACAAGGGATCAGTACTTTAACTCAGCTGATTTCTAATGGCTCTATAAAAGATTTTGAGAGTTTGTGTGTTGAGTATGATTTATCTCCAGTATTTGCTTAGAGATAGATAGATAGATAGATAGATAGATAGATAGATAGATAGATAGATAGATAATTGAAAGAGGAATTAATCAAACAATATGGCCCTGATATGCTAGCAGCCTTTGAGGTACTTGCAAATTAAAAGATTAATTAAAAGATGCAGTGCTTGAAAGAAACCAGCAATTCAATTTTACAAGGAATTAAAAAGTAAAATTAAAGTTAGTTATGTATTTGAATTCGGAATGATGAATTGGAATATCCAATCTTGGAGAATCAAGGGTCCAGGTGCTAAAAAATATGAAATATATTATGAATTTAAAAATGTAATTAATGCATCAGAAAATATTATTTCATATTTATTGTACCCCTCAAAGAATGTTTAAAAAGGGATTTATTTTAATCACTATAATATATCTAGGTGTTCTTTCTTCACTGTATAATCATTATGTTTTTTCTGTAGCTTTTTTTTTTAATTTCACCATTAAAAAGAGTATTGAATGAAAAAAGGCTGAAATGGAATCCAGGTTTTTAAGCCTGGATTTGGCACTGCAACTACTTTGGTTATCCTGAGGAACAATTTCCGTCAGAAATAAGAACCCCTGTTTATTCTCCTGGACCTCACCAGGTAATGGCATAATCAAACATAATATTATTCTTGACAGATCTCTTGACCTGGGACCTGCAGGCTTCTGTTCTAATATAGACAGCTGATTCCAGAAAGCTAAAACAAATTCCTATTCCACTATACCAATCTACAATAAAGGCTTTCGTTTTGTTCTCCAACAGCTACCTAAAACCATTTGGAATTAAGTGCCAACAATGACACTCATTTCTTTTATTTCCAAAGTGAAGCAGTAGAAGTATGAAAGCAGTTGTGGAAGGGCATTAAATTAAAGTTGTTGGTTAGAGGTTTATTTGCTCAAGAGATGATGTTTTCAACAATACTGAAATTACCCTGACAGATCAAATATAAAATATTGGAAAAATTGAATATCCTGTACTGTGAAGCTCATATGATCGTGTTTGGCACAGAAAGCCCAAGAATTAATGTTCTGCTAGACTCCAAACTAGATTATCACAGGAAGATAGTCTGAAAACTAGTTTATTCAAAACAGTTTGTTAATTACTAAGCGGGACTAGACAGTAGATTCTTATCTTGACTCTGCTGAAACAATTTTATTGTTCCCATCTGTTTCATTACTCCCGTTGTTTCAATCATATTATATCTGTACTTTACTGCAAGCTAGTTTGGGTTCATTTTAATGTATAAATGTATAAATTTAGCAAAGTAAGTATAGCATATAAAGAGGTTAATTTATAGTAAAAATATTTTCCAACTATTTTGAGCTGTGCACATCTATTTTACAAAACACCAAAAGCAAAACAGTTTTCACACATCCAAAATATATTTCACATAACTTTTTAGCAGAGAAAAGGCTGAAAAAATTAATACTATTTAGGCATATTTACTTGAGTGACAGCCTAAAGTAATGCACAATATTATAAGGAATGCAATATTATTATAAAAGAATGATACATAAAAATGTGAAAATAGTTGTCTGATCTGAAATTAATATCTACTTCAAAAAGCTATGAGGAAGTCAATGAAATACAAATAAAGGAAGGATTTAACAGGCAATACTGAATTACTTTTTAACTTACCATCCATCCTTATCGCTACACATTTTAACTCAGTCTCAACTCTCCATACAATAAAGAATAAATATGCCATGGAGTAAAATGCAGTGTAGCGAAAAAAGTGAAGGAAGCTTCTGTAGCAGGTAGATGCTAAAAAGCTCCCTTTTAAAAATTATTTTTAGGAGGAATTTGAGGGAAGAAGGTGACATGAATAAAACTAAACAGGACAGAGATAAACATCTTATGGTGGGAAGCAGTTACTTACAGCCCATGAAAAATGAGGGGGAGCTGCCAGGACAGCACCCCCTTTTGCTGCCGAACTACAAACAAGACAGGGTACTGATCATCTTCGGAGTCACTCTTTACGGTAACACGGAGCGCATCCACCTGTGTAGAGACAGAATCAGCAAGGAGACTCCGTCAGTGAATGCCTACATTAGCCTGTCCTGTTCAGAATATCCACAATGGCACTTCCACTTTAACCCTTTTCTGATGGGAGTAAGCTAGGATGCTCTCCACAAAGAGAAGATAAAGACTTATTAAGACATTACACATATAAGGCAAAAGGTACGCCTCACCTCTGTGCAGAATTTGGAGTCATTTGTACTTCTGGAAATCATGGAATCATCATGGAATTGTTATACTTCACCGGTTATTAAATAACAATACTTTTAAAACTTTTGAAATTCTTCATAAAAAATATAATTTACCTAGAAAGGCTGAATGGCAATAGATACAGATAAAACACTATCTACATGGTTTGGCATTGAAGCACTTGCAGCTTCAGAAACACCAGAGGTTTTTAAGATGGCCTCTGGTGTTTATGGAAACTAAACCAACAATTTAAAAAGATTTCAAAAATAATTTTGAATAATCAAGCAATTTGGAATAATGGTACTATATTACCCAATCAATGGCTCCAAGTATTAAAAAACAGTAGGTATATTTCTTACAGCTTAAAAATGTGTCTAGTTCTCTTTAGGAACTATCTCTTGGACTCCTCAGAGAATAGAAAAGGTTGGCTCCCATTGTTTTTATGTTAGAGTTGTAATAAATTTGAAGGAAATTTGGTACATATGTTACAGGCTTGTCTGCTTCTAATTCCATATAGGTTAGATAGTATTGCTATGGTGACCCAGGTTCTTCAAAAGCAGTTAAATGTTAAATATGTCAATATGTTGTTAAATTACATCCCCAAACCCTGGCATCTTGCAATCAATGAAGAACTTTGGATATATCATGCTTGGACTGTGGCAAAAAAAGGTGATTCGTGGAAGAATGGCTTAGCCCCAACTCTAAATCTTGGCTTAATGAAATCTGTCAACTTTCAGCCTTTGAATTAGCTTTATATCAACAAACAGGCAAAACCAGACATGTCTCCATAAGGTCCAGGCTGAATTCATTGTTAAAAATTGAATCACAACTTGGAAAAAAAATGGCTTCCGGGGAAGTTATGGCAAACTGAAGATGGCTCTGCAAAAGTTTAAGACTGTTAGAAGCAAAAGGATGGAATATAAAGTTGGTTTATTTGATCAAGTTTAAAGTAAGACTTGGGTTTTGGTTTTGGTTTTTTTTGCAATGTTCTGGTAACCTTTAAGGATTGAAAAGTTGATGCTTTATGGATTTACTTATAGATAAGGAATGGGATATGGGATGTAGAGATATCTGTTTAACCTTATATGGGGCGAAGAGTTATTAAATTTGTTTATACTTGTTGCTATGAAGGTTGGAAGTCACTTCTTTATATATTTCTTTTCTTTTTCTTTATTATATTCTCTCTTTTCTTTTTCTTCTTTTTCTTTTTCTGCACTTTTTATTCTTTCTTTCCATTCTCTTCTCTTTCTCTAAGTTGAGTTTGCATTAGTTTTTACCACTGTAATTTAAATTCTTAATAAAATTATATTAAAAAAAAACAACTTGGAAAAAAATGGAAGGAAATCATGTAAATGATCATGTAAATTTAGTAGTTCAGTATCTATCTATCTATCTATCTATCTATCTATCTATCTATCTATC